CGACAGTACACACAACTAATGATGATGATAATGTACCAATAACTCCGCAACCACCGGCTGATGATAGACGACATTAGTACTTCTCAATAACCGAATTATAAATAAAAATGTTAGACTTTGTGAAATTTTTAAAATTTGTATGATTCTTAATAAACAAGATATTAACATTTTGAGTACTTCTTTAAAAAAATCAATGTAAGATATTGTTTGCAATATAATTCATTTTACGTGCGATGTTATAACTTTTCATAAAATGAGCAAAAGAATTTTTACAAAAAGGCGTAAAGAACACTAAATAGCGCTTATTCAAGTACTATAGGAAGTAATAACCAAGCTTGTGGTACAATTCAGCTCGGACGACTTCGATCTATAGTACAGAAATAGCTGCTTTCAAGAACATCAATGAACAAAAAATTTCAATTTTTTCTTTCTTTTAGCTATGTGCCATATTGAATGAACTGTCTTGTTGTTTGTATAAAAATAGTGATAGCTAATTGTGTCAAGGCTTTACATCTTAACTAATTGTATTGTTTCAAAAGTATACTTCATTGTACAAGCGCGAGATAAGTAAAAGAAATGTATTGCACCAAAAAAAAGCGTTGAAATTAAAAATGGTCATAGAGACCAGCAAAAAAAAAATGATTTCTTTTAAAGGATATAATGGAAATCTCTTCCGTCTTCTCTGTAATTTGTCAACGATAAGACAGAAAAGAAATTCCTCGGATCTTGAAATGTACCAAGGATTTTAGATAATAAATAATATCTAAATACTTTTGTTCTCGTTTATTTTCCTTATGTTGCCTGAAAATAGAAGTATCCCATGTATATTTTCGTTCATATATAGCACAGTGCGGAAGTGAAGCTGAAGAACATATAGAAAAGAATTCTATTCATAGAGTGAAAATATCGAACGATGTGGGGTGAAGGTAGGGGTGCCAGTTTCGGATTCTGTTCCTAAGAACCGGGAACTAGGACTGGCACTTTGCTTGTAAAAATGGTTAAAGTTAAAGTATAGATTTTTTCCACTAAAACAGCTTTTTTTTATAAAGTTTGACCGAAGATAATCGGAGTCGAAGAATTCGAATTTGAAATCGATTTCTCAAAGGCTTGAATTTGATTTTTACACAAAAAAGTATATTTCTTAAAAAAAACGTTTTTTTTTTCGCAACAAGATGCTTTTTTGCAAAAAAAAGTAACTTTTTTACGAAGAAATGAGATTTTGATTTCAGGTTCGGATTCCTTAACCCCGACTACCTTAGGTCAAGCTTTATACAAAAAAATCGCTTTCTTCTTAAAAAAGCTCTGTTTTAACTTTACGTCACATTTATATGACGAAGTTGTAACTTCGATACGACATATATATATATATATGGAGGATCAAGGATTAGAAATAGTTAAAGAATTCAAATATCTAAGTTTCACTTGAACGAATAAAATGTTCTTGAAACTAACAATTGATAAAACTCTCTCAAAAGAGGTCTTGAGAAGATGTTTCTTTGTGTACAGCTTCCCGTATTTTTCCTGAATATTTTCTGTATATCCATTCCAGCTAAAAACTCAAAAAGAATTACTTCTAAGAAAATTTACAAACAAATTGAGACTGATTCACCGCTGTTCCTTTGCTCGAGCAAGAGATCTTCGCCAAATAACAAATGAAAAATCACTGGAAGAATATGTCAAAAGATGTAGAAAGAAAAGACTAGAATGAATTGAAAAATCAGATCTAGGTCGTTCGTTCTTTTACAACGATATATTTTACTGGAATTCATTTCATAAAAATAAAACTGATTACCTGGGTCACTTTTTTCGAACGAAGCGAGTCAGACAAATGCATGTAAAGGATCAAGCACTGCTTCTTTAATGGCTTAAATTTTTGTCTATGTGAAATCCGCGTCGTGACTGTTCTTCTGATGTTCTCTCTTTTTCGCGTTTTCAGAACATCTTTCTTTTCTTCTCTTATTATTATTTTTTTATTTTGTTATTTACCAAATGTAGCACTTTATAATTTTTTGTGCTTCTTTCGCTCATGATCGTGTTAATTAAACAGCTGTGAATGCTCATAGTATATTTTTTTTTTGTAAGCACTTCCGAGTATAACAGTAAAGGGAGAGAAATCAAAAAAAAGTCAACAGAAATAGGAATAATATGAAGAGAAACTATGAAAAAGAAGAAGCATACGAATATTTTTCTCTCGTCCGTTTGTTCGACTCATTTGTCAATCCGTATAAAGAAATAATAGCGTCTAGTCTGACATAGTTCAACAGTCAAATGTATCGTCTATAAATAGCAGCTTCTTCTCATTTTTCAGTCAATAAGATGTTGTCTTCTTACCATCTTTATCTGTTTTTCTTATTGTTCGTCATCAAGTTAATCTCGCCTGAAGAGATAACAATACAATCGGTCCTCCCGAATCTGCCAGAAATGGTTCACGAGAATACTTATCATGAAATACATGATCGTATTTTGCCTTCAATTCGTCGTATGTCTCGAAAAATGCAATCCATTATCATTAAGACAACTGAAGAATATAAGAAAATGCGGGTTTGTCTTTATTGAAGAATAATAAAATAATTTGAGAGTTTAAAACTACATAAATCTTAAATATACTACTGTCATCATATTGAGTCTATAAATTTCACTTTTAGGAATACAAGAATATCATAGATCAATCTTGTCTGTCGTCGTCATTAGTTTCTAACATAACTATACTTTCAAGAAATCTTACACGAATTATGCGAAAAGATGTACTATCGATTGAAGAGGAACTACAACGTACTGTACCACAAATGGAAGAAATTCAGAAGCAGATAGATGAACTTATGGCAACTGTCAAACACCATCAAGGGCTGGTAATAAATACAGAGCAGCTGCAAAGATTACAAACATTGACGAATATGTATCAAAAATGGAACGATCAATTAGGTCACATTCGTCGACAGTTGATGCAGTATGTTTTATATCATTTAGATAATCATCAAACAAACTGATGTGTTTATTTTTTAGGATATTGGATGAAATATTACATCCTGGTCTTGGTTTAATCGAGGAATATAATATATGTTTGCGTTCAACAGCTCAATCACTCATAGATTATAGTATAGATCAAATAGTCGAACATATTGACGATGATGATGATGATGATGATGATCAGCTTTTTCCTTTGGATAATTTATCATCGTCCTATAATCATACTGATTTGTGACTAATTTATTTCTTGATTTCTTAAATAAATAAGAAAAAGTGGAGGAAACTATTGTCTATCATCGATAATAATTTGTTGTTTATAATTCGGAAATATGCATCTAGAAATACAGACATTGAAGAAGATACTGTGAAATCAATGAAATTTTTTTTCAATGAGAAATTATCATCATTTTTACTTTTGACTGGGTTGAGAAGTTGTTAACTGTCTAGATTTTATACAAATGAGGAAAGTTCATTTGAAAAATAAAGTTGACAGTTTTGTACAGCAAAATATTTTGCATCAAATTAATATAACATCACATGTCAAAACTATTCTTAAGCATCTCATATAAAAAAAGTCGGCTCAATCGGGTGTACGCGTTATCTTTTTTTTTGCTTTATTAAATGACGAATACATAGTTGTAGTAGAACTTATCCTTAAAAAAGTGCAATTTTAGTGTTTTTTCTTAATGCGGTAACCTTAACTCATTCATACTTAACCACAATGTCCCTTAAATGAGATCACTTTTCTCAAAAAATATATTCAATTTAAATGTATTTGATACTTGAGATACGGCAAAATTCTTCATGTATATTTAATCCAAAAAATTGGAGAAAAGAATGAATAATAATTTATCATAAAATCATTCGCTTAATTTTATTTAAAATTTATTCTATAAAAATTGTGTTTTTTTAATAAATAAAAAACATATTTAAAAGTATGCATCTTTCAAGAGACTAGTACTTTATGTGGATCATGAGATATATCTTTTCAGAGAATAGATGACGTCTGAAGTACGAGAAAATAGCGTCATCATATGCAAACAGGTAAGTTTACATGATGCAATACAATAAACAACATTTTTAATCAAGCTATTTTCTAGTCGTTCTTTACTATATATATATATATATATATAGGGTATGGATGTGCATGTGGGTGTTCTCTTCATCTACACTTACACCCACATCCTCGAAATTTTAGATGATCTTTAGATCATTTGAATAGTTACAAAGTCGAACTTCCTGATGAGAGCCTTAAGTAAGATTCAGCCGAGTCGTATTTTGCTCGACACATCCATACCCACACTAAGTCTGCCGGGTAGACTCGAAACCATTCGGGCCCGAAAGTTTTCGATCTGATGGATTTTAGTCAGAAATAAAACTTAATTATTACAAGATCATCAAAGTTATTTCAGAAATGTGTTAAGTCTGCTAGTTATCGATGCAAATAAACGAAAAAGAAGGAATTTGTATCTCCAAAGTGATCATCAGATTTCAATATAAAAAAGTCTCCTTGAAAATATTAAGAATGTGTTTAAGATCCGGGTTCGGGCTCGAAAAATTTTAATCAGTGGGATCCGGATCCGATTCTAATATTTTTGAACCCGACGGGCTCTAACTCACACGCAAATTTCTACAACCTAAAGTATGTTTTACATGTGCATGATGAGACATGAAGAAAATATTTTCATTCATATCATCTTTCTTTTTCTTTTCACAAATGTCACCTACTGAACAAAGCTAACAAAATATGTTTATTCTCTGTGAATATCAGATGTGACTGTATAGACCTTGTCGTCACTAACAATTGCGTCCTAAAGAACCGCACACTGTGTGACATCATGCAGCCAGGTTTAACGAATTTTCCCATGAAGACTAAAAACTAACAGAAAATGGTTAAATTCAAGAAAAGACACTTGATATGATTTATTTAAATTTTATAAACAGGTCAGTAGTGTTCATCGTGCATAGATTAATCTGAGGAGAAAAATAAAATTCATTCGCTGTGATAGAGTTTGAAATAGTTTCGTATACCTCTGGTGTGGAAACCCAAGAAATATCAACTAACACAAAAGAATATGCTATTTAAATCTGACCAACACTTCACTCATATTTCGTAATAAAGAGAAACGTATATGTGTCAGGCAAAATTGAGCTTTAGGCAAAATTAAACATAATTCTTAAAAGATTTTTGAAATTTAAAACAATTCAAAAAAAAAGAATAAATAATTGGTTTTCTATATTTAAATTAAGTTCAGCCCCAGTTAAATTTAAATTTATCTAAATTTTCAAACTTAACAATTTACTCCGCGTTTTTAATGCAAATCTAGACAATATCTTGTAAGATGTAGAGTACACTACTGTTTTCAATGCAAATCTATATAATATTTTGTAAGATATAGAGTACGCCACTTTTTTCAATGCAAATCTATATAATATTTTGTAA